GGAGGGGGCAAGGGGGCAGGAAAAGAAGTTTGGCAATAAGAAATGGAGAACAAGGAAAGATGCGGTTATTGGTCTCTGAGGTTAGATTAAGGTCGGGGTAATGTTGAGAGGTTTGAGGGGTAGCGGGGGTAGGAGTGGTATAGGAAAGTGGTAGGGGTGGGGGTATAAACTTGGAGAAGGTTGGAGGGAGGGGTGGGAGGGGCGTAAAGCAACAGGAGCGTGAGAACCTGGCGGGTGTTCTGCTCTCGGGTGTTGCGTTGTGCCAGAGTTTGTGGGTCGTCGAGTTGTAGGAGGCGTCCAGGGTAAGAACCTGATGCTGGTGGGATGTGAGGATTTGACAGGGGAACTTGTACGTACATGTACAGGAGGGGTGTGAGAGGGTCGGTGGTGTGGCGGGAGAGGGAGAGGGAGAGGGAGAGGGAGAGAACTTGGAGAAAGGATATTCGAAACCCGTATACTTTCAACGCGCGTGCACACACACACACACACACACACACACACACACACACACACACACACACACACACACACTCCCACCCATCCGCCCACACACACGAACACACGCACATACACACACACACACACACACACATAATATACACGCACCTACAAAGAGCGAGAGAGGTAGAAAGGGGGAGAGGGAGAAAAAGAGGGAGAGAGAGAGAGAGAGAAGGAGAGATACATAGAGAGACAAAGAGAGAGAGAGAAAGAAAGAGAGAGAGAGAGAGAGAGAGAGAGAGAGAGAGAGAGAGAGAGTCAATCGTGTTCGGGTAACGGGAACCCATCTCGTCCATCCATTTCCTCCTCAGGCTCTTTTGCTCTTTTAGTGTGATGCAACATCTGATCTCCATGTACCGAGTGACCAGGGTATGACCATGGAACAGCGTCCATGGTGTAGCGGTTGCACGCAAAAGTTTCGAGTTCGATACTCGAGTGAGCAGGTTTCTTTATAGAGAGCTGATATCTCCCATCTATGTGCTGAATGTTGTATTCCTCCCCTCCGGGAAAGATATCTGATAGGCGGCACCGAAAGTGTCTGCGTCTTAAATAATTCAAAGTGTATCAATTTTATCTTACGTGTGGGGGGCGTGGTGGCGGGGTTGGGGCGTCAAACGTTTGCACTCTCTACTTACAATTACAGCGGCAGCTTTTGTATAACTTAGGTTCCGATTTTCATTAGATTATACAGAGTCTCTGTGTTTTGTGGTCGTCTGCCGGTGCATGTGCCTATTCTGTCCATCCATCTATCTATC